CTGAAATAACAGATCAAACAAAATCCAACAACAAATGTATTAACAAGAATATACATACTTTATTTAAAATATCTTTGATCATCAGAATGTAGAACGAAATTATTACATTAGACAACAAAGAAGGCACAAGGTATGCAAAATAAATGACCGTCTTATTGCGATAACCTTAAAGCCTGAATCAGGAACTGTTAGAACACCACAGGCTCCACAGGACTGGATCAGAGTGAGGAAACAAGGGCTAAAACACACACAGGGCAGCTACCCTGTCCTCGTTTAGCTTTGTTCTTCAAAGGCCTCCCTTACAGCAAGTACCAGAATTCAGCCTGTGCCTGCATGAGCACGGGCACACAGTAAGACCCTCTTTCACAGGATAAGGAGCCTATATTTGTAGTGTCTGAAAAGTAAAGCCTGCCTTCTTTAAATCAGAGAACATGATTGGAAGCTGTTCTCCTTACAAGGAAGCATTTCTTCTTGATTGCATGTTAGTAAGTAAATATATATTACACAGAAAACCTATCATGGATTTCTTAAATCATGACAAGATTCAGGACAGCAGACGACGCAATAAATAATAACTTCTAAAATACGTTTAAGCATGTATGAAAGAGTTTGGGTCCGGTCTGAAAAGTGGTATAATTTAAATCTTCAAATATATAAAACTGGGTATAATCATGTCAGAGATATTAAGAGAAGGCTTAATGTTACTGATAACCACCTCCATAATGTCTGCCATTAGTGTTGAACTCCATAGTAAAGCAACCCTCAACCCAGGCAGAGAAGATGATGTGATTACTGTTACTGAAACATTTCACCATTTCACATCTTCTACAGGATCTGAGGTAAAAGGTTAAAATGGTGCACATACAGGCACTGACTCATCTGCTGATGGCCTTTCTATAAAGCACTGAAGAAAGTACACAGAGTAAAACACGCTGGCTGCCATTTTCTGACTTTTTAGGGTTTTACAGAGAGAAAATGCACTTTTAAAAGCAACAACCATCTTCACTGACATCACTGTAGTATAAAAACAGCCAAACACTCAAAGAACCTGCAGAATCAAACATAACCACTGCACTGAGCACAGTGAATAAATGATCTACAATTAAAGATGTGAAAAGTCTGGGCTGATGCCAAATGTCTAATATCCTATATTTTTCCACGTACATATCTGCTGATGACAATATGACAGACACATTTATAAAATGTACAAACTGTGACCAGATCCATCTGAATGATCATTACATAGAAATGCAACATTTCTTTGTATTGGGTTACAAATGCAATACAATTAATAAAATGCAGACACTTTAGCACAGCAGGCCAGGGTCACCTAAACGTTCTCTGATTCCAGACTGCAATAAATACATAATCAAATATTGGGTTGAAATATCCGTCAACATCGGTTAATTACTGGTCATCTGCCCATTTTGTTTTTCAGCAAATACCTGCAGATACAGATGTGATTCTGATAGTATTGTGCATCCTCATCAACAACCATCCAGTGTGCTAAGCTGAGATGTGCAGCAGCCCCTTTATCTTTGAATTATTCAGCAGGCATTTCATAAAACATCAGCGCATCTCATATTAAGACATAATTCCAGCATAAAGTTGTTAATCCTTCATTTGTCACCTTCTCTGCATAGACATACACATCCAGGCAAAAAGTGCTTATAGTTTAAATGTGTCAAAGACTGACAGCAGGAAAACATTATCCTTGTTAGTAGAGATAAGGCTAGTTCACCGTGGAAGCAAGCTCTGTAAGCAGCAGTAGAGGTCCAGACCCATTCAATTTCAAACCTTTTCAACCAAAATAAGCTGAAAAAACAAATCTGTATGCGAAGAAAGTGAAACCATAGTGTGCAGGTAATCGTGGACTTAACACCCTTTATTCTGTTGTCTGTTTGGTTCTTGAGCCACTTATCTATAAAATGGGGTGCAATCTGAACCCACTGCCAAATCCTAGTATCTACACCAGTCAGCCTCCACCTCACCATGTCACAGGGTCCCTTATATGATGCCAGGCCCTCACTCTTATGCCTTAGAGTTCATAGACAACAGGATGCCAGGTTTCTCCTCAATGACACGCACCAGCAGGTTATCGATGTAGTCTTCCAGTTCAAGGATCTTGGCGTCTTTCTTCGAGAGCTCAGTTTGCTGCTTCACCACCAGAGTTATCAACTCTTCCTGAGTTAGCTGAGTGTAGGGGCCACTCTCTGCAGTCTAAGGAAAGGAAAAATAAGGGAGAGGTCATAAGAGATATAGAATACTAGTGGGACACAACATAAGCCATGCAGAAATCATTTACTTAGATTAAGTCTGGCCAAAACAGCATTTTACAGGCTTCGAATACTTGTTGGTATTTCCGAACCAGTACCTGAATACTCGTTCTTTAAACCAATATTTACGCTTCATAATTAACCAGAATTATAATTATGTTCATTACTGCATTTCAAAATATATCCAGTAGGTGGCAACTATGTTGTGATTGAACAGATGCAAATCAGTGTTTGAGTCCAGAACAGCTGCGCTGGGCGTGCATCTCATATCTATCAAAAACACAACTTGTTTCCTGCTACATTTTTTGCCACAAGTTCATGCAACGTTATGCAAAATTGTTTTTCACCTTATGGACATTTTTACAGACCAAAGTCCAGATCAAGGTCCATGTTTGTTACGTTGTATACATTTGATCCAGTTAGTTTTTGTTTCACATTGCAATTTAGCAAGTGCATGACAGAACTACATCCTGTAGTCATCACCTACGTGGGCTGCGTCTCCCTACACTTGATGTTAATTGGTTTGCATATGAGCGTGTTTTTGATGTCTGCATGTTGACGATTCGGCAGGCAGCCTTTTCCATTTTCAAGTTCTCTCATCTTCTCAGAAAATAAGGTCCAAGTTTCAGCATTTTATGTGTTCTTTCAATGTGACTTTTGACATTTTTGTCAGACCAAATTACAGTTAAATATTTCATCTCCTCCTCTCTTCATGTGCGTCCGTGGCTTCCGAGTCCAAACCATCCAGAAGTGTTTTCACAGTACAAACGAACCAAAACACGGTTCGGTCTGACCCAGACCAAGACCACCTCTTCTGGTCGGACCAAATTTTGATCCGTGGTCTAAGGTGCCTTTCACGCCTGCTATTTTGGTTCTGACCAAACTAAAAAGTCCAAAAGGTCCAAACCAGACAAGGCAGGCGTGAAAGCACCCTATAATTTACTTTTAATACGTTACCTGAGTCAAGTTTTCAATTTTGTCATTTTCATGAGAAAATGACACCAAACGTGACGTGGATACCTGGCATGATTTTTAATCATCTTCCATATAAAGGCTTTTGCTGATGAAATGTCAGCTTTCAAATACTAAACTGAGAAATGAACATCAACGTAACAAACGAATACTCAAGTGTTGTAATCATTCAGGCCAAATTTTTATAAGTGGGAGCACCTTTGATTTCTCAGCCACCTCTCGGATGACTGGAGTCTTCAGGTCTTTCCCTACAGAAATGCTGCTGGGAGGCTGGCTTTCTGTGGAACTCAAGGGTTTCACTGGGTGTGGCCTGAGGAAAAAAAAAGAGAAACAGATTTGAGTGGAAATAAAAAATGAATATGCCTTCATAGAATAACTCCAAAGAAGGTATTATAAATTATGAACAGTACAAAGTAACATCACGAAGCACTTAATGCTACTACCTAATACACTGTACGGAAGTGATATTCAAGAATCTCTAATCTTAGTTAGAGGGGGAACAAAAAAAAATCAGAATGACTGTGATCCACAGAATTAGAGTTCATCATCAAGGGCAGGTCAAAAGTCATGTGAGAAGGAGCAAAAATACAAGATTTGTGTTAGTTTTCCCACCTAAAAGTAACAGTCATGAGACTATTAAGCATACCAAAAATCCCCCAAACACAGCATGCTGATTCAAACCAGACATTCCTTTGATTATGAGAACACAAACTAACACAGACACCAGAAAGTTATAGACAGTATGTGGTCCACAAAAACCTCCATCTGCGAAAAGCAGAAGAAATCATTTGGAATAACCAGCTGACCTTCGATAGCAATGTTAGGCAATCTTTAAAGCTAGTTTCCTGGACAGATAAAGCCTAGTCCTGAACTAACATCATCATCATCATCATTTTTAATGGTTAAAGGAGATATAATTATTATTCTAAGACCAGGCTTAATATATGTCCTAGAAACTATCCTTTAGTCTCATTAAAAAGATCAGATCATGGTGTTTTTTGTGAAACGAACAATCAATCATCAGTGAGTCTCAAAACCCCAAAAGGAAAAAAAACATCCTCTGATAATTTTACTGAGAAAGAGCATGGCACCTCAGAATTAAAGCCAGAGAGGGTCCCAGGGTTAGTAGTGGTTCCTTCTTTAAAAAACAGGATGGCACGGGGGGGTTGGGGTTGTGGGTTATTCTCACCTGCGAGAGGTCAAAGCCCCACCTCCACCACTCAGCAAGCTGACAAACTGACCCTCAGAGGGTGAGACCCTGGCACGGAGCAGGGTCTTGCCCCCAGACATGCTTCCAGGCACTAGCTCTGGTGTTGCTGAGGAGAACAGCGCTTGAGAGGGGGAAGTGAAAGGATCCATTCCCCAAAGGTCTGCTTTTGAGGTGACTATTGTGGTTTCACTGTTACTCTGTGCAGCCACACTCGTAACAGTTAATTCAACATCATCTGCATCTGGCATAAACTGAGCAGCTGGTTTGTCCACAATAGGTTTCTCCTTTACAGTTTTCTCCAAATTAACTGGGGGCTGAGGTGCCTGTTTTTTCTTTTGCGAGTATCTTCTTTGGAGCAAGGGACTCGAGTTCTTGTGTGATTCTTTTGGATGCATTTCATCTCTGACAGCAACAGGTTCAAAGAATGGATCCTTTTTATCTTTTGATGCAAAAGATTCAGAAAATGGATCCTTCTCATCTTTGCGTGCAACAGATTCAAAGAATGGATCCTTTTTATCTTTTGACGTAACAGATTCAAAGAATGGATCCATTTCATCTTTGGATGCAACAGACCCAAAGAATTCATGTGCTTTATTTTTAGATGCAGTAGATCCAAAAAAATTATCAAAGTCCTCAGGAGTTAATCCCAGATCATTAGACTTTGTGGTTTTTTTTCAGGCCACTGGTGAAGAGGTCATCTTGGTGCGTGTCTTGCTCTGGTAAGGCCCAAGGATCTAGACAGATCAGCTTGTCATTTGGGAAAGGGTCAGAGTCAATCAGTTCTTTCTCAGGACCTTTGAATACATCTGCAACTGGCTGTTCTTTTGGCACGTCCTCATTTTTTGCAATATGAGTTATATTTGACACATTCACAGGGACCTGCATTCTTTCCTCTAAGCCTTTATTCTCCCATGAGCTCTTATGTGTCATGGAACCTTTTTTCCTTTCCACCTGGGCTTTTTCTGATAATGTTAAACTTAGAGTGGTAGGCTGCTCTGGCTGAACCTGTATGACTGGTTCTTTCTCTGCCACTTTTAGCCTGGGTTTGGCTGAAGGCAACTCTGTAGTGTCATCCTCAGCGTTAGAATTCTCCAGCGAATTTGATGTTTTTACAGCTCTGGCAGCTGGTGTTGGCCTTTCCTTTGTCTCTGAAGGTTGGGCAACAGCACTAACAGCAGTGCTGAAGGTTCTCTTCTCTTTCACTTGAGGTTCTTGCTGTACCTTTGGTGTAGAGTCACTACGTAAAGCTCTGGATGCAAAACGGTTAGACTTCTCCACAGTAGCATATACTGGTTCAGGGGTAAGAACTTGCTTGGAATTAACCTCCAGCACCTGTCTTGCTGTAGCAGATGTAGTTGATTTAGGTGGTATTAGAGCCTGTTTGGGCTCCATTCTTGTCATGGAGACAGAGGATGCCTCCAAATAATCCTTGTGATGTTTGTTAAAGCTTGATGAATTCCTTTCTTTTATAATCTCAGATTTATTGGGCACAGGCTCATTAGGACCATCTACGCTCATCTCTTCTTCAATATTCTTCAGATGGGAATCTGTCTTTCTCTGGTTGACTTCTGCTATGATGTGTTCCCAACGAGTGTTAGTCATGACCCCATGTCTCTTCTTGGGAAAGAGAGCATCATAGTCAGGGAGAGGAAGTGGAGGTCTTTGACTTTGAGAGTTTAGTGAAGACACTTCATTTTTTGGATGGTGGGTTCCATTCTTTGATGAACCTCCAGGATAGTTAGGTGGTTGGAGGGCCCTGTGCTTTTTTTCAGACATGCTGGTGGTGTAATCTGCTCCTGAAAGGTTTTCCATGCTGCCTCTTGGGGATTCTGCAAAAGTTCTCTGTGGTTTAGGAGGTGCCAGAGTAGAGTGAATTTCAGAAAACATAGCAAAAGACTCAAAAGGGTCACTAGAGGGAGAAGGTTTTGGGGACAAAGAAGACCCAGGGACAGTGGGCTGGATGTCTGAGGTATCAGGGGAGACAAGGGGATCAGTATTATCTGTTTCAGGCTTCGGACTGAGAGCCAATCTGCCAAGGAGCAAGAACACAAAACACCAATTTGTCAGTCCCCATCCGTAGTTAAGCTTCAAAGTTGTCTAGCTCTAATATTTGCAGTTAAACCAACTACAACCAAAATACATTCAACATACTTATGATCCTATAATGAGTAAATAAAGGAATACTCTGCAAGTTCTCAGACCCATGTCCCTACAGTCCTATCATCTTATCATACCACCTCCCATTAGGTTTATTTAATAATCAACAATTTAAACATCACGCTTATCCCAAAGTTGTATATCATAAGCATCCTTTTAACACAAAAACGAAACATTAGAAGTACACACTAAAAGAATACTGTACTTTTTTTAGCCTGAGTCTCTACAATTCTAATACTTCAAACGTATAGAGCCCTGTGATGACTGTGCTTTCAAAATCATTACCACAGACCAATTACGTCATTGTCATGCCCCTCAGACCTTAGTGCTCTTGGAACAGTGTTTTGCATTTCAGCTGGATTTCAGTCATAAAGTTAGTTGATTTTAAAATATGGATCAGGTAATCAGTGAACATGAACCCAAAGAGGGACAGAGAAAGAATTACAGAATGAGCAAATGATCAAATTTGCATGTGTAGTAATAATGTGAAGAGGCCACAAACAATGTACGTTTGTACAGCTGAATATCTTTATTCTTTGAAATAGTCTGGGGGTACAGGTGGTTTTTGGTTCAAAATATGGGTCCCCAACATAAAATGATAAAGTAAACTGATATAAATGTTCTACGGATTTAGCAGAATGTGTTTTGAACAACAACTAAACACACTGTTTGGCACTAAGGGAATTCTTGTTTGAGAGGATTCTTACAGGGAGAGTTTATATTATTTACTCATTTTAAAGGTATAAGGTTATTTATAGGTTATTTATAAGTGTCTTGTTTTATATTTATATTATTTGTAATGCTACTGAGAACTGGCAATCATCACTGACATCTGAAAAGTTAAAAAAGTAAAACACTTTAACTGAAACCATGGGACTATATGACCATAGAAATCAAAATTGTCCTGTATAAATTGTCTACATTTTTTACTCCTTCAAGTTGCATAAAAGTTTCATATCCGTTGGGCCCTAGATCGAGGCAGAATATGCTACAGCTTTACAGAAATCCTGACTAAGAAATGGTAATAAAACTACCAACACATCATTTCCATAAAAGCCAATAACCTTAACTTAATTTAGCCTAATCACTGCCAACCCACCATGTTCTGCCAAATAAATAAATAACTAAGCAAAAAACAGCATGTTACTCACCACTTAGCGGATATTCATATTTAAACTCCCACAGTTGAGTGGAAAGTCTCAAAAGTCAGGCAAAAAGTAGAAGAACTTCAGATATCTCCACTCACACAATGCAAGTGAGTCATAGACTGAGAGTACACAAGGCCACATCATTCATCCACAACCTGTTTCTCTCCATACCTATGCACCTCAGCCGACAAACCAGGCCACATTCCCTCACTAGTGACCAATCAGAGCGCCTCTGCCTAACTGGTCCTGTAGGCTAGTCTCAAGACAGCACGAAGACCACATTCCTTTAGCCTGTGTGGGAGAGTGATTGGCTAGGATCTCTTAAGGCACCAGTTAAAGAACACTGGAATGGATAAAGGCAGCATATAGGGCAGTAAGTAAGAGAAAGAAGCCAAGCGCGCCCCAACTCTCGTCTAGAGAAAACCAGTCTCTGAGATTGCTGTCTCATTGCAGAGGGGTATCCAATTTGGCCCTTACAGATTAACAGAGGTCAGTGTTACGTTTCATTACATCATTGTTGTAACACTGTTTTATTCATAAGAATATAGGAAAACGCTTGGTTAGGGCTTCCCTTGAAGAAGAGGTTGTTTTACATAAAGGCCAAGCAGACAGAGATTAGTGGAGTGGAATTACATCTGACTATTCTCACATGACCTCTCTTATCTAAGCTACTAACTGCATTAGCAGATAGCTCGACTTACTATTTACTATGCAGCCTTTGGTCCGAGTGGACGTGATTGTTACAATCTAACAATCTGATATTTGTCTAATTTTATCAAAGATTCACAAGACTGCCTAATACTTATCGTCAAAGTCAGAAAAAAAAGACTCAATTTTTGTTGTTTTTAATTTTTTTTGCTGCTCTTTACATTGTGCGAACATTTCCTGATGAATGGACTAACAAAAATGGCCCAATATTACATTTATTTTACAATACTGTACACTGAAAGTTAAAAACATTAAGAGGCTTTTTGATTTTCTTGTAAAGTTACCACTGGAGATACAAGGTTTGCAACTAAGTGCGGGTTTGATGTTTAGTTTTAAAGCTGAAGTTTAAAAAAATTGAAATAATGATTAAAACCGCTGTTTTTCCTCTGCTGGTCAGCGCAGACGCATTCACACATTTGCAGCAGCAAATCAACAAAAATGCTCCCCCTGTGAAACCATTTCATGGCTTTTACAAGGGACATTAGACAAGGGATTTGTAAAATATATTTATGTCAAGCATCAAGAAAAGATACATCAACCAAGAAATTCTCTATAACAGGTTTAATGCCAAATTAAACCACCACATCCCGCTTGATATGCAGAATATAACAAAACAACAGAAGGAGAAAGTCCCTGCTAGCATGTTGATGCCATCCGCATCCAGATTTTGAAATGAACAAAGAACAAAATATAACAAAAAAGGAATTCTTTGCTTTGTTCTTGGTTGTTTATGGTAAGTAAATTGATTTTATTTATTGTTATTTGGTCGAGTGTTTCCAGAATTTTGGATTCATCAAAGAATTTTCATTTTGGTGCATCGCTAAGCACCACTATTTCCTTCTGGCCAAAAATTTACCACATGATTTAGAGGAACTCTTTAAGATGATGATGAGGATCATTTCAACTCATCTGATGCTGATGAGATCATTCAAATGCAGAAAAAAAAGACATCTGAAAACCTACCTTGGTTTGACTGCAGAAACCTTGGCTGTGCGTCCAGGAAAGGCATTGGTAGGTGGTGTTGGGGTAAAGGTATTTCGCTCTTCCTTCTGTGCCTTTGCTGGGCTCTCCACCAAGAAAGGATTTGTGGAGTCTGGGCTGAGAGGAATTTCCTCAAAAGGGTTTGTGGAGGCAGGTACGTCCATAGGTTTGGGATCCACCACAGCTGGAGGACTCGGCTCCTCTTTCTTCTTCCCGAGGCCAAAAAGGGAAGTCAGCCTCTCAGCCACTCTGGACTCCTCTTGGCGCCTCTGCTCCTCCGCTCTCTTTGCCTCTTCTTCACGCCTCTTTCTTTGACGCTCTTCCTCCTCCTGGCGCTTCCTCTGTTCTTCCTCCAACCTTATCTTTCTTTCTTCTTCCTCCTGTTTTCTCCTTCTTTCCTCTCGCTCCTGTTGCCTCATTCTCTCCTGTTCCTCCTGCCTCTCCAAAACCTCCTGCAAGCGTCCTTCTGTCTTCTTGTGCTTCTTCTCTTCATCCTCTTGAGGGTGCTGTGGAACATGTAAGGCTTTCTCTACTGGCTCAGGCTTGTAGGTAGGAATACTGAGGCCTTTGAACGAGTCAGCCGAGACATCAGATGCGTTTCGTTCGTGGTATTTTCGCAAGTCTTCTACAGAGCCTTTTGCAGAGCTGCTCAGACTGAGGGTAGATCCAAAACTTGGCTTGGGCTCTTGTTCCTCAGCATAAACATGACTGCCATTGATGCATAGGTTGTTCTGCTCTGGGATGTTCTGTTTGGAGCGATTGAGCAGTGAGAAAGGGCCCAGAGATACCTTGCTGTCTGTGCTGCTTGTTCTCTTATGGCCCAGAAATTTGAACTTCTTTTTCACTGTGCGTGAGAGAGAGAGAGCACATTTAAATGAGTTAATACACTGACCACTTACTAAATGTTGTATTATACAGTAACCCAGGGTATTATCAGTGTTATTGAAACTAGAAAATGAATAAGACTATTTTACAATGTTAAATATTGATGCGCATATATTGGCCAATACATTATTTGCTGCTAAAAAAATTAATTATTATTATCGTTCTGACACTGAAATTATGGCCAATAATTACAACCAATAATTTTGAATCTTATTATTAGCTTGTGCAGGCACTGAAGCATGTGTGGAAGCACATGCAGTCACCAGTGGTGGGAATTTCCCCTTTTTCCAGACCCTACAGCAGCCCTGTAATGGCCACCAAATGTACTAAAGCAATTTATGGATGTGAATTCTTACAGAAAAACAACTTTCATGACAAATTTTTTTTAGTCTGTTACATATTTTGTTCTTTTAAATTAACATTTCAGTTTTTCAAAATACAACAAAAACTCCACACACTGTATTTCTCTGCTTTTTTGGAGCATTTATACACCGCTTTGGACAGTATTTGAGAGTGTTCAGATATAATTACAGTAGCTTATTTAAACACAGACAGAGATGAGTGATCATATGAAAGCAAATAGCTGTGAAGTATATAGCAGTGATAATATGGAAGTAAGTTCAAGTAAGTGTTTTATAGTTCATTTAGCTGATTTACTAAATGCAAAGCCAAGTTCATGTTCTACTGCTAACTTAGTTATAGTTAGTTCTTTGTGAAATAACGTCAATAGGCCAACTTGAAATCTCGCCCAGTTATTCAGGTGTTTAACATAAAGTGAATTTGCATAGATTTATTGAGACGATATTGTTTCCTATATGAATCAACTAAACCTGTTATCTGTGTTAAACTAAGCCTGTTATCTGTGTTCAGGTTTCAGATGCGCTATACTACGTGCCAGATATGCAGATTTGTGTCACACAGAGCCAAAAAAATGAACTTACAGCAGGTTATTCCCCTTTATGTGAATGCTTTAAAATACAGAGCGACATGAAGTCAAAGCTGATGGGAGATCATTTACTGCACAGGATTTAGCTGTGTATGATTTTTTTATAGCCTATATCAAGTCCATCACTGGATAATGATGATCTTGAACATTGTTAGTTGTTGTCCTTTAATTCCACATCCCTGTTTTTTTATTTTAATAAACACCTACTCTTTTGAATGGCTTTAGATAAGAGGTCTGCTAAACCCTACCCACACAAAGTACTGTAAAACGTTTAAATAAGCAATCAAATAAAAAGAATTCATTTAAATTACAATATATCAGCCATAATAAGGTGCTAATTATCAGTAATCATATGAGCCCAGAAATTCCGTAGTGCACTAGTGCACCTCTAATGTTAATACAAAATTGGCTCTTGACAGACTCCTACAGTGTTTACATACTGTCTGGCCTTACCATCAGGGGACTCTCCGTTGAGGCCTGAGGATCGGCTGCTGCTTAGCGAGCTATTCTTCTCAGGCAGTGTGCCGAGGGTTGACATGGACTGAGATACGCCCCTGTGGAGATTAGACTTTGGTGCAAAAAGAGACTTCAACTTGGACGACTTCTTGCCCTTCGCAGAGTCTGGATTAGCCTCATCCTCCCCTTCACTGTCTGTCAGGACCTGACCAACAGTAGAGGGCACAATGGCAGAGGCAGAGTCAGACAGGCCATCCTTCTTCTTGCCGCGAACCTTGTCCTTGAGCTTGGAGATGCGGGACCGAGGCTTGTCTTGCATGGAGAGGTCAAACATGCTGGCAGTCATGTTGTTTCTCATGAACTGGATATCCAGGAGAACCTCTCCTCTCTCTTTGTCTGCCTTGCCATTCTTATCCACCAGCTTGTACCAACTGAAAATAGACAAAACATGTTTCGTATTAAGCTCATATTTCAATGAACACTATGCTCAGTATGTTATCAGGCTTGGCCATAAACATAATAGCCTGAAAAACTCTTACTTGATGCACCCAGTTGGATAATCAATTATGGCAACAGAATAAGTCATTTTGCATACATAGCTTATCACACCCTGTGACTCTCGTGGGTACAAAAGCCTGTTCCAGCAAATCACAGGTCATGAAAGGCATCAGGCCAAAAATAAAAACAGACAATTATGTCTTTGTGCTGCCTCTGCGCTTGCCTCCTATTCTCTGTACAGGGATTAGCCTGTATTCAGCACAATGGGCAGATAGGAGTGTTCTGGAGGGCCCTTTCCATAAGTAGAAAAACATGCCTTTATCCACCCACACTGTTTTCATAACACACTTTCTTTATCACAGAGAGGTTGCAACAGCACTGGGAAGCCACACAGTCTGGCAAAATGAACTGTGGCATGGACACGGAGGGTGGGACTGATGCAACATTCCAAGTATAGGTCCTGACTATGCTGCCAAAGTTCCTGGAGTGTGCACACGTCCTTATTTGCGAAGCACAAATACATTTTGTTGGAAACAACTTGCTTCTCATGCGCCCTGTGGTTCTTTGAGAAACACAAGAAAATACTGTCATTCCACGCAGTTGTATGTGGCCCAAAATAAAGCTCTCATACACTCTGGGAAAGTTTAAGGAAGTTCAATTTAGAACAATGAACACTAATTTGCTTGCACATGTACCGCAGGAAGTACTGCGCTTATCTGAGCACTACTGTGACTGAGAACCAAATAAGATTCAGGAGTGGTTACAGTATATCCAGAGAAAGCATCTAACTCAGGTTGACCACAGTGTAATGTTTGTGGTGAGGGCCAGTAAGACAGCCACTTCTTAGCAAGTGGTAGACCAAACGGTGACAGTGTGCCGGCGTTGTGCAAGGACCAAATATCTGTGCTAATACCTCAACTTTGATAACTCGTGTGAAGACTCGCCCATGAAGACTCGCTCAAATGTCTCAGTTAGCAGAGTCAGAAGAAAACGCGAGTTGCATCAGCTACTAAGTAACGCTGACATGGATGCTTATAGCTTCTAATAGCTGACTGGTTGTAAAGTCCACCTCTATTCCGGTTGTCTGATCCACAGTTAGCTGACAGTGATTGAGCCACATTAGAAAAGCACTCTGGGGCTCCCGAGTGGCGCAACCGTCTAAGCGTTGGCCCTATCATCAGGAGATCGCGAGTTCGATCCCTGGTGATGCTACAGCCGTCCGTAGCCGGGTGTCCGAGAGAGCACAATTGGCCTCGCTCTCTCTGGGTGGGTGGGATGGCCCCTCCTTCTCCCCCCATCACTCAGCGCGATGCTGGTCAGCGCAGGCGTCTGTTAGCTGACGTAACAGATCTGGCGGTTGGCGCTTTCCTCCGAGCGCGTTCGGCTGTCCAGTGACGTTGCGTGAGCGGCAGTTCGAAAAGAAGCGGTGGTTGGCTTCACAGGTCTCGGAGGAAGCCTGTGTTAGCCTTCACCCTCCTAGCGTTGATAGCATCGTGTGATTGGGGGAGTCCTAAGTAGCGGGTGGAATTGGAGACGACTAAATTCGGGAGAAAATCGGGTAAAAATTAAAAAAAGAAAAAAAGAGAAAAGCACTCATTTTAGCCAGAAGGTAAACCCACACTTTATATACAAAAACACAAGACCTGACTGTAAATGAACTTGTAAAGTTCAGCTTGTTTAATTTTGAGACGTAGCTTTATAGTCCACAGTTTTTGTTTGCTTTGTAACGAGCCATGATAACACTCAAGTTTGCCAAATGCAACTTGTAATATTCATCTTGCACTTTTGTTTTTATTTTTTATTTTATATCTTCTAAGAAAATAAGAAAATGACTTCTGTCAGTTATCCTTTCAAAAAAAAAACTGAAATGTATCGAAAATGTATCGTATCATGATGCAAAAATGACAATAAGTATAGTATCATGCAATTTTCATAATGTTGCACCCCTAGTCTGCACCACAAGGCAATATGACCCATTTGAAATCCTTTGAAATTCAATCCTCAATTTAAAAAAAAAATATATATATTTTTTAAAGTTCAACAAATGCATCAAGTTTCCAGAATCAGTGAGTCATCGTGATCTCAACACTGACCAAAATAATCATGATTGCGACTTTTGCCATGATCATGCAGCCCTTCCCTTAACATAGACCAAAATCACAACTAGGCTGATTAACATGGGTTTCACCAAAGCATAGAGCATAACTCTGCAACTCGTCTAGAGGAAACAGCCTATTGATTAATTCTTCTAAGTCATATCATGCAAAAATACCCTCCATGAACAAACATGTAATCATAACACAATAAAACAGACTGTTGGTGGACTTGTACCTTGCACAGCAGGAAACTAAAATGAAGAACTATGTGTGGGAGAACTAACAGTGAGAAAAGCAATGCTCACAGAATGTACTGGTGAAGTCATCATTTGGATTTAGATAAGGCAGTTCCCTCCAAGATAAGCTAGGAAGAGCCTGCTATAACACTAAAACCAAATCTGCTCTGCTGCAGTCTGTTTGGCTGAATGTTAAACACCAGTTAAGGACGAAATCAGCAGACAACCAAACTAAACACTGGTAGAAATCAGCATTTAGCTTTATCATTCAGAAAAGACTGACAACGGCAGTAATGAAAGTTTGCTTTCCAAATAATTGACAACGCCAGTTCAGACAAAAGCAAGCCCTCTAACAGACTTCATCAAGGACAAGAGAGGGCAGTGGAAGTCAACCAAGTGTATGTTCGACAGTCATAAAAGCATCAGTGCATGACACAACCGAAACACACTGTAGCCAGTAGAAACAAGCCACAAACGTCTCCTGTGGGCCATATTCCTTCCCTGAAGGTGAAGGGCATAATGCTTTGGCTAAAGTGTACTGTTAATAAAAAACATTCAGGCAGCCAGAGCAGTGAAAGTCCTCAGAAAGCCATGATCGTGACTGAAAGCTCTTAGATCAGAAGCCCACAACTATAGATGACCTACAGCAAGACAATACTGTGCACACCATCAATAACAGTTTGTCTTAGGGATGATGGTAGAAGTGGTTGAAAGACTGTAAGGCAGTTGGCCACATCACAACTGCATGGAAAACATTTATCAAAATGTTATTTGAGGTAGAGATTGTGAAGCTGCTTATCTGTTTCACAGCTGCAAGCAGACACGTAACCAACCAACAGCTGTCAGAATATGACCTTGCACAGTAAGCTATACTGTGACACTGTTGTCGTTCCAAACGATAAAGAACACCAGAATAACATTAACTCCTTCGGTTTCTTAGGAAAGACCAGTGGGTACCGATTATTCTGCTACTCACACTTAGGACAGTACTGGTAGTGGGGGGCTGGGGGGGTGGGTGGATGACAACAATATATCACTATTATGATAAACTTGTCTGAGCCCATCATGGGTAACGTATACCACCACTGCCCAACTGCAACGCATAATAAACAGGGACTTAGAAGAGACGCAGCTCTTTAAGACTTCGCCCTGATGTTAGGAGGACACACTAGAATTTGGTGTCAGTGCACTGCTGTCAATCATCCTGAAAAGTTCAAAATAGTAATTTAAAAGTCAGAGGTGTCGGGTTGGATTCTGTGGGAGTTTTGTCACACGCGTAGGTTTGACAAGAAGCTCCAGCTCAATGTTTAGGTCTCAAATGATGAAAATTTGATGGCAATAGTAGGTAATTCATTTGGAAGATGTTCTCTGAAGACAAGTCACTCACAAAGTTTTGACTGAGTTCTCTTTAAATACTCTTTCAAAGCATTCACAATGATGAGATTCATCCACTTGGGGAAGGGGTTTGAACAACTGAGGTTACAAAACATTCTTTTGCAACTGCATGCAATTACATGTTTGCACCAGAGAGGTCTCACAATTCCTAAAACTTAGTATAGTTGTGACTGGAGTGCACTGCGTTGATAAACATAAACATATCAAACTTTAAAATAAATAAATAAATCAAAAATAACTGATATATTGTGTATCATGAAATGTGTTTAAGTATTGTGATTAAGGATATAATAATATAATGCATCATATTGCATCGCTTGGTATTTATGTATTTTTGTATTGCAACTTGCAAGTTACCTTGGGGCTAACATATTAGCTTGTGGCTAGACAGACTGAAACACTACAAAGTATGGCTTTTGTTTCAGATATTGCACTTTAATAATGTTGAATACTCTAATAAACAATAAACAGAAAAAAGGAAACAGGAAAAAAGAAAGAATATGGAAATATTAACAGATCAACATAAGGCACATTTACAGGCACTGCTTATTTTTGCTGCACTGAAAAAAGTATCAAATCCAGACACCGATGTACCGTGTTGAATTCTGAATTTCGTGGATCATTACACCCTGTTCATGACACATTTTTTCCATTTTGTCTTTCCGCAACAGGACCTTCTAATGGAACTGGAGAAATAAAGCTGGAAGAATCAAAGTGGTTTAGCAAATGCCACCAGGAAATGAGAATCCAGAGCCTGCATTCCAGCCTAGTGGACCCAGGTCACTGTGGGGGTGGAGGAATGGGTTCTTTGGGGGAGGTCAGAAAAATAAGCTGTGCTATGCCATTACTGCCAGCGCTTTATCAGTCTGCTAAGAAGAACTAAGCCAAGACAAACAGCCAAACACTGTCTAAGGAAATGGAAACACTGCACAAACTAAATATGATACCAGTGATTTTTAACATTGCAGTCCAAAGTACACAGAGTGGTTCTGACATTGTATTTAAAACTGTTTGTGAGTAGTGCAGCACGTGAAATGTTTTAACTCAGCCTAGTTTCTCAACCCAGACCTTGAGGCCCAGCAAATGGTTCCACATTTTTGCAATAAATTGGGCAAAATAAGTGGAACTGTCAGGTGGGCCTCAAGAACTGGGTCGAGAAACAATACTCTGGTCTAAGGGGTTAACAGGAACTATGCCGTCATATGG